ATTCCTCTTACCTACTAAAATAATCGATAGGTTCTAAAGCGTCTACCGGGCAACAATTAAGTAAACAACTTAAAGCCGGCGACAATACGATAAATAAGTTAGCGGAGGCGGAGGCCCTACCTAAGAAAAACGATATTAGACTGCCTATACTATAGAGCAGTTTCTAAGCGATAGAATAGGAGCCGACGGAGGCTACTAATCCGTTTGCTTCGGTACGGGGAGGCAACGGTATAAGTATAACCGAGACGATAGAATATAATAGAACCGAAGACAATTAATATAAAAGGTATAGATATACCGTAGTAATAATAATAGGGAAAGGATTACGCGCTAATTACTATACGAATAGTAGGTATTCTAACTAGTCTTATATAATAGATAAGACTTTATTCGCGGCGGTAAGTAATCGCGTTAGGGATATATTAGGGCTAGAAGAGAGGGAGTAGATATAGTAGGCGGATATAGAGGCGGACGGCGGCAAAGTTAAGGAGATAGTATTTAACGAGGAGACGTAGGATCGAAGAATTAGGAGATATATAGTAAAAGAGAAGAAGAAGTCGAAAGGAAACAAACGAAAGAAGGTAGAGGTATATCGCTTTAATATAGCCGTAGAAGACGAATAGAATACATTCTTGTTAACCGTAATAAATAGATGCCCTATATAATATAACGAAATCTATTAATACTATACGAGTCGGTCGCTAAGTCGGTACTAACTTAGTATACGTAGTAGACGTATACAAATGCCGGTAGTTACCCGAGTATACGTATAAACGTTAGATATTAGTAGAAGCAATAATCGTATAATATACAGATCCGATAGAAAATATAATTTAAAGGGTAGTACTAGTACCTACGACGACTCGAGCCCGACTCGATATACAAGTCGGACGGTAAAGAATAAAATTCTAACTACGATTAGATTTAGTAGAATTTCTAGATCGCGACGATCCTATTAGATAAGATCTTTAACGTACGATCCTAAGGATCCTAATAATCCTAAGCGATCCTATCGATAGGATTGTCGCGATTAGTAAAAAAGTTTCTATAACGCTATTTATAGCCGGTAGCGTAGCCGGCAGCGTAGCCGGTATTCTTACTGTCTTTTTATTAATCCTTCTTTAGCCGTAGCCCTCCGTAAGATTCGGAAGTATTAGAAGAGTTCTAATCTCCTAATCTATAAAGCTCCTTTCTAACGACTTATTCGCAAAATTGCCTAGGATTATAAAACGGACCTTCGCTTCTAAGCCTCCGCGATAGGCGCCCTTTAAGAGGCTATAGAAGCCTACCTAGTTCGTATCTTCGAATATATGTTTCTCTTCTACCTCTTTTCGGACTATACTAATACTATTTTAGCGGTTAACCTTATAGCTATCTACGCGAAGCGTATAACGATTATAGATAAGGATTTCAAAGCACTCGATTAGATTCTAAAAGGCTAGAATATCTGTATTCGAGATAGTACTAGGTAGGATAGATATTCTAGTAGGAAGGATGTTCGTAGTATCGTCTATAAGCTTTTCTATATACGAAATAAGCCGCTATTATACGGCGCTACATACCGCGCTCTAAATACTCTCTAAGTATATATATATAGTATAGTATACTTTATTAGCCGTACGGAATAGAAGTCTTCGAAAATCCTATTAGTTCTAAAAAGTAAAAAGGCCGGCTACGCTACCGGCTACGCTACCGGCTACGCTACTAGGTTTTTTAAAGAACTAAAAGAAGATAGACATTCCGGTTAATTTGTATTAGTTTAGATTTTTCTAAGAAGAAAACAGGGAAAAATAAGGAAGGTTAAAGAGCCTAATGCTTATAGTTATAGGCATTATCCCTGTTTTCTAGACTATATTATATACCTACCTTCGCAACTCTACCTAATACTCTCTCTAAATATCCTTATACTCTACCTATTAGAAATTTAACTAGGTACCTAGACCTATAGCTGCCTCTATATCTTTTACTATCTTCTATAGCTTAAAGGACTCCTCTATAGCAGCCTCTACCTCCTTATATAATACGAAGTTACTACCTACCCTATCCTTAATATCTCCTAAATAACTAAGAGTTCTAAGGAACGAACTAGTATTCGGCCTTAGTATAGCGAGTAACTAGTAGAACGTTCTATAGAGCTACTTTATAGCTCTTTTATATACTATACCGATACCGAGGGAGGAGCTATCCTAGTACTTAATATTAGAGAATAGTTTAGTTAGAAAGTAGTCGAACTTCTTAAGGAAGGCTTCTAGGGAAATCGATAAGTTCTACCTAGATCTAGATAATAACATTCTACCGAGTAGTTAGGGAATTAAACAGCGAGCGAAGGGATAAAATTTATACCTAATAAGTGCAGTTTTTATACTAAACTATAATAGCTTGTATATATATATGCTTTTAATTAGTTAGTGCCCTTAGCTAATTGTCTATAGATTTAGGGTTATATAAGTACCTTCCTATAACTAAAAAATACCGGCTACGCTACCGGCTATACTCTCGTATCTTATAAAGGGCTTGCTTCGAGTTACGTAGACATTCTTATACTTCTTAGAAACCGATAAATTCTATAGTTCGAACTAGCTAATCCTATAGTTGCTTAGCAAACCAACCTAAACCAAACTAGATCTTCAGCTTAGCAAACTAAACTAAACCAACCCGAACTACTACGGGGTCTGTTTATATATATTAACGTCTAGGGGATTAGCGAAGACAATTAGCGTCTTTAAAAACCGGAATTCAATATAGCAATCGACTATATCCTTCCTAGATCCCTAGTTTCTACTACCGGTAGTCGATACTAAGCTAGATAACTATACTAGCTACTTACTTAGATAGGTATATCTAACTAAAAACGCATTAGTTTAGTATACTAGGCACTCGTTATTATACTAAAGCTCGCTATTTGCCTTAAAATAGGAGATACAAAGGCTAATCTATAATAGTATATAGCCTAATCGAGGTATAAGGAGGATATAAGGATCTAGACGTATTCTTAAAATAGAGACAAACTAAAAATGTCTATTAAGTTTCTTCTAACCCTATAGGAACCGTAATAGAATATAGCGTAGCTCTAAGGTATAAAGAAGCTTATTAGGGGCTAGGATTCTTAAGATCCTATATTGTCTAGGCTATAGGAGAGTATTCTATATATATATCCTGTATAGCTTTGCTTTAAGCTCCTTTAGCTACTATATTAGATTCGCTTTTAATTTATTCTATTTCGTAGCTATATTATAATATTACTTACTAATAAACCGACGTAGGTATACTAGGACTAACTACTCGGCGAGATTGCCGCGTATTAGGCTTATATCCTACTTCGTTAGGATTATATCGGAACATTCTTAACTATAGATATATAAGAGATACTAAGCTCTATAGAGAAGGTAGTATCGTAGAAGCTTACCGGTTATATACGCTTTTTGCGTATTCTTCGTCTTACGAGATCGTTAGTTATTAATACTATATCTTTAGCTAATACTACCGTATAACTTTTACTAAGGTAGAATAGCTCGTAACTCTACGGAACTATAGCTAGTCTTCGGCGAGATACGTAGTAGTCTTACCTCCCTATTAGGCGCTTTAATACGCCCTACCTTTATCGAAACTCTCTAAGCTAGGCTTACGAATTAGGGATAGCAGTAGTTGTAATTATAAATTAGGATATACGAGATTATCGTATAATTTAGTAGTCTACTTAATCTCTCTACAAACAAGACCGTATTATAATTAAGCCTAGGTCTTAAAACGTTATTATTAAAAGGATAATAGGTAGAAAATATAGGATATCGCTCGTTATTAACGATATATACTTTAACAGTAACTGCCGATTTAAACTATAAAGACCTAAAAGTAGATACAAATAGGTAGTAGCGATATATATCGGCCGATATTAATATATATTATCTAGTACCTAGATATCTTAGTAATACGCGAAGAAGGAATAAGCCTAGCGAGAATGCCCGATACTACGACCTACGTATAGAACTAGATAAACGTTCTTCTTATAACCTTACTTTATAGGGAATTTATATAGATTAGAGCTAGTAATAGCAATTCTATTAGTTCCCTTTTACTTTAAATATAAGTTTATTTAAGATACCGATATCTTCTAAAATAACTACGACTTCTTCTATAAGTTCCTCTAGGCTACTATACCGATACGACCTAGGTTATTATTTAGGATCTTTAGTAACCGAAGCATCTAGCGAATCTAACCTAAGGCCGCTAATATACGCTATAGGTATATTTAGTTAGTCGAATCTTATAATAGAGCTAAATTAGGACAAATATACCGTACTAACAATGTCTATACTAGTCTAAAGTAGCGTATAGACTAATAGGTTGCCTAAAAGTAAGAGTATAGATAGGAATGTCTATAAGATATTCTATAACCTCTCTTAGATCTACCTTATAGTAGAAAAATTAGCTAAGGTACTAATAGTAGCTTTATTACGGCTCGATAGATAGGTAAGAATAACGAGGCTCTCGGGGTAGATACTAAACAAGATATAGGATTAGTCGATAACGTACGAAATTATATTTAAATTTAGTCTATTTGTTTTATAGCTATTACTAGAGGGTAATACCTCGAGGATTTTCAATTACCTTCTATTAACCCTTACCTATACTAAATTGAAAGCTAAAATCCTAGAGAAACTCCTATATCTAGGTCGAGTTAAAGTCTAACCGACTTTGAGTTAGATTAGCTCCTATACTACTAAGATCGAAGTCGAAGTCCGTTAAATTAGCTCCTATACAAACTTCGAAGTTGCGATCCGTTAGATTAGCTCCTATCTAAAGGCCAAAGCTAATACTAGCTAACATTGAATTAGACTAGCTCCTATAATACCAATTTCGAAGTTGAAGCCCGGTTATTCTTGCGTCAGATCAGCACCCAAATCAAATTCGAAATTGAAGTCCGGCTAGTCTGCTGTCAGATCAGTTCTTATGCTAGACTCCAAGTAAAAGTCCACCCAATCAACGCCTATGCGACCAAGTTAGAGCTTGAAGTCCATTAGATCAGCCGTCATGCCATGCTCAGTTCGAGGTCCGACTACTCCTGAGTCAAATCACCTCCTACACCACCTTCGAAATCGAAGTCCGGCCACTCCCGAGCCAAATCCAAATTGAACTGCGACCAATCTATTGTGAGATCACTGGAGTCCTGAGCGTTCACCGAATCATCTGGACCAAAGATACCAGCATCGTCGGCGTTGAATGCCTGAGCTGCACCCTGATCATGATCAAGGACAGCAGTACCGCCTTCTTTGCTCTCGACATTCGCACCAGGCTCTTCGACCTCCTGCATCGCTTTCTCCCAATCCTCTGCTGTGCCAGGGTCGAAGTTGAAATCCGGCCATTCTGCTGTCAGATCACTGAACTCCCGATCGAAGATACCAGTATCGCCGCCAAACTTGTTCATGGGTCCCTGGGATGCGCCCTCGGCGACAGCAGCACCGCGGTCTTTAGCAGCAATAGCTTCGAACTCCGCCACCACTTTCTGCCAATCCTCTCCCCCCATGCCACCAACTTCGTAGTTGAAACCCGGCCATTCTGCTCTGGGATCGAAGGTACCGGCATTACCAATATTGCCAGCGTTGTTCTCGACAGCAGTGTTGCGCTCGACATTACGAGCAATGCCCGTGACCTCCTGTATCGCTTTCTCCCAGTCCTCTGCTGCGACAAGTTCGAAATTGAGATCCGACCAGTCTGCTGTTAGATCAAAGAAACCACCAGCATCGCCGACGTTGTTCTCGACGAGAGTTGTCGTGTCCTTATCCTGACCAAGAACAGCAGTGCCGCCGTTGTTGCTCTCGAGATTACCAGCAAGCTCTATGAACTCCTGCACCGCTTTGTCCCAATCCTCTCCTATACCAAGTTCGTCTGCAGTCAGCTCGGTGTTGTTCTGAACCGACGACGAAGCAATGACAGGAACAGGAGGATCGGCATTGTTGGTAGTGAGTCCGTGAGTCGTGTTGCCTTCCGCAGTATCGTCTCGAGAGTCTTGGCCGAAGGGGAATAGGGCATTGAGGTCATCAGCACTCCAACCCAGAGTTCCACTATCTTGTCCCATGATCATTCCCATCTCCACACCTCCATCAAATCCCCCTCCCAGAACCTCACCCATGCCACTGTCCAAATTCCAAGACTCAGGACAGCCCGAAGCATGCCTCCAACTCTCCCACCTCCTATGCCCCTTCCGCTCACACGGCAAGTCCCAGCACTCATCCTCGTCACAACCCAATATCATGCACGTTCCTCCAGCGCAAAACTCCTTCACAGGAATCAATTTTGGCGAAGGACCGGTGCAGAGATTGATGGCGTGGTCGTGATTCTCATTGCAGGAATGACGTTGCACCTGTGTACAAACTGGTTTGTGAGCTTGCGAGAGATCTCGGCCGCAGAAGTTGCAGACTAGGAGGTTGTCGTACTCCTCGATTGCATTGACTGGCTGTGGGTCGGTGGAAGTGGCGCTTGGGTAGGAAGAAGAAGGTTGAGCCGTGCTGTTGTGAGATCCAGATGCAGGCGAAGAGGTCGATGGAGCTGAGCTGTCTTGCGGAAATGGGATTGATGTGTTGCCAAAAGACTGCTGCTGCATCGAGCTACTGAAGAAGCCACCTGAGCCGTTGCCCGGAGTTGAGGCTGAGGACGAGAAACTTGATAAGCCCGAGTGAAGACCAGAGTCCTCTTTCGTCGAGCCGGCTTGTGGAAACGAGATCGAAGTGTCCCACGCCTGATCATCGAGAGGGCGCTGAGAGAGTCCCTGCATGGAATTGCTGCTGAAACCACCTTGGTCATTTGAACCGGACACTGAAGGACTCCAGTCCCGATCAAGAGGAAACGGACTCTGCTCTGCCATATCGACGCCGAATACGTTGCCAGAGCGAAGACGCCTCGCCTTGCCGGCAGGTTCAGGTTCAGTCCTAAAACGATTGAGGCGGTAGATGCCAAAGCAGTTGGAGTGCTCTGGGACAGTGTCACGCTTCCGCTTGATACCAGGCTGAGACTCTATGCGTCCAGCTCCGAAAGCCTTGGGATCAAACGTTGGCACCTTGTCCGCTGGGTCTCTAGCTAGAACCATCTTCGTCAAATCAGCGACCCAGCGCTCACCAAAGTTGTTGTCAGGTTTTGCGAGCTCGGCCAGGTGAGTTCCGCAAGCCGTGAGCTTCATGAGATCCATAATTGCTTCCGAAAGACGAATCTTGCCTTGCTCGAGATCGAAAGCTGAGAAACCTCCATTGTTTCGCATACGAAGAACCTGGAAATAGGCGTCTGAGACTCGAGCGTTGGAAGCTTCGCGTTGACGGAAGGTGTGTGGGCGTCTTTTGTCGTCGCGGCGGCAGGTTGTTCCTGGTGGGACGTAGGAGCGCAAGTTGGCGTTGCGTCTGGAGCCGCGTTTGACGTTGACGAAGCAAGGGAACCACTTGTCGTAGTCGTCCCAGCAGTCGAAAATTGGGCGGAAGTCGATGGTCTTCTGCATTGTAGGAGTACCAAGAAGAAAGAGAAAATGTAGGAGCGAAGTGGGTTGAATCAGTTGTAGGTGTAGCGAAGGGACTCAGTGGTGCAGTAATCTGAGTGCCTGTTGGGTAGGAGATGTGTGATGTGGTGTGATGAAGCAGTCTTAAGTATTGCGTTGCTGGCGCGGCTCCGACTTTGGAGTTGACTTGCAAGTCGACTTGCGAGTGTGTGTATGCGGACGTCCGAAGGCTTGCAAGTCGACTTGACGGTTCATCGACTTTGATCATCCTTTGTCGTCGGTCGATGGTGGGTTATTCCCCATCGCCCACCGATGCTTTACTATGCCCCATCGCCTACCGATGCTTCATCATCCTCCATCGCCCGCCGATGCTTCCTTTTACTCCATCGCCCACCGGTGCTTAAGCATCCCCCCATCGCCTACCGATGCTTCATTATGATTGACCATCCTCTATCGCCCGCCGATAACTGTTCATCTCCCATCGCCCATCGCCCACCGATGATTGATCATGCCGGATCGGTATATGCGCAATGGCTGTACAGCTTCAAGCAGTTGTAGCTTTCAGGAGCCTTAAAGTGGATTACGCTTTCGTGGGGTTTCTCTCTCTCAGCGTTGAACTCTGCTCTTCTCACCTCAGATGCTCGCGCAGCTATCTGCATCGAGAAGGTGCCTCCTTGGTTCCACGTCTACGTAATCCAAGCACGGCACGAAAACGAGCGCGTCACCTGTCTTCCACCTACCTTATTCCCGTTGCCTCTGACGTTGTGCGCATTCTGCATGTCTTTTCCAAGAAGCTTCCCAAAGGTCTTGAATGACCGTTCGAAAATCGAGGTGCTGGCACTCGTATCGGGACTCTAGTTCGCGTAGCCTTTCTCGAGACGAGTCGCATCGTGAGGGATGTGTTCTTCTTTGCCACTGCTAATGATGCTGCGTGCGGCATGTGTAACGGGCCGCTGTTCAGGCTTGCGCGGGTTCTGTCAATGAGACTCGGCCATGCCAGAATTTTGCGTCGCAAAGGCAACGGCTCCGTGTCGCCGCGCGCCGTCCCCGCTTAGCTGGGCTGGCTTGCTGCGGAGGCAGGTCGGAAATCGGGAGTCGAAAATCAGCAATCGAGAGTCGGGAGTGAAATCCGCGTCAAGGATAACGAAGACGTACAGATTGGAGTCAAAGGGATGAAGAAGGACATGTCTACCTTTCGACTACATGACCGCGTTCTGTCAACTTATCCCCCTTACGAAGCTGTCTATCAGCTATGCGCTTGCTTCCGCCGGTCGAATGTTCACGGCTTGGCGCTTGGTTGTTACGGATTTCGTAACAACCGACAGCCAAACATAGGATATATAAGCGAATTTCGTAGGCACGATAGTATTACCGACTGAATCGTTAATGCGAGATTGGTACTACGTAATTAATATAAATTAATACTTACGTAGTTTATAGATAGCTATATAAAAGGTATAGCGCGTAAGTATATATAAATAGTTAATAAGCTATTTGTCGGCGAAGTTCAAAGAATTCCCGGTAACGGAATTAGCGGGTAAGTTCTATAATGCTAGAAAAATCCCGATATATAGATAAACACTTATTAAATATTCGCTAGAAGTTCTAAAATTATATATAAATTAGGGCGTAGGTTAGACTCTTTATACGGGAAGTACTACTCGTATATCTTATAACCGCAATATAATAGGTTAGGATACGATCTATTTTAAAATTAGGGCAGGATTATACGGTAAGTTTACTATATAGCGTAGATCTACCGTACGAAGAGCTTATTTCCTAGGCGCTTTCTCTCTAGATAACTTTTTCGTTATTTGTAGTTCTATAATAGACCTCTTTAAGTCTGCTAATAGCTCTTCTTTATACCGAAAATTCTATAAGAGTATATATTATTTTACTTAGTCAGTTCTATACTACTACTTTTATAAAGCTACTATAATCTATTCTCTATACTATAATTAGGCTATCTTAGCCTTCTAATAAGCGTAGATCCTTACTCGTCCTAAGCTCTAGAGTAGTCTCGACTTTATTACTTATTCCGATCTATTAACATTCGAGCTTAAGCTAGTATAGACTTTTAAAAAGCCTAGATCGCTACCTACCTCTATCTCTAGAGCTACCTCGACCTGATTAGCTCTACTAATCTTTTATTCTTTAGCATTGCGCTATTCTAGACATTAAATAAGCCTAAATCGTTACCTATCCCTATCTCTAGAGCTACTATAACCCGATCGGCCGCTATTCCGATTTTTTAAACTTCGAAACATATAGGACAATTATAGAGCTCCTACTAAGATAACTATACGCGCTATTAAGTCTTTTAATAGGAGCTATAAGATCTATAAAGTGATCTACTTTTAATCCGTTTAAGCTTTAAATTACTAGTCGCTTCGACTATCTCTTATAACGTCCTTCTATTAACTAGTCTTAAGTTCGTACTCTATTTAGAGCCTACGCTTAATCTACGATCCGCATTTCGCTTTAAGTACTTAGTAGGCTAAATACGGGAGAGCCTACGATACGATCGATTGCCTATTAGTCTATTAGCTACTTTCGCTATTTCTAATATAAGCGTACCTAAGTCTAGTAACGTAGGTAGAATCTCTTAAAGTAACTCGGATCTTTCCTTACTCGGAGTATATTTATTATCTTCCCTAACTAAAGCTTCCTAGTATCTATCTATTTATTCGATCTAACCTCTATCTCCCGGCGTAATACCTACGGGGCTTTATAAAATATTAACGACCTCTAAGAGAGGAACTGCGACGGCCTTACCTTACGGTACTGTGTCGGTATCTCGCTATTCCGGCTACCTATTTAGGCGCTTCTTGCGTACGATAACCTCGACAAGTATCGTATCGGTATCTTATACTCTAGTAGATAAAGTAATAAGCGTTTTGCTTCGCAATTACTCTAGTACTAGAGCCTATACCTTCTTAAAATTACCCTCGTTTACGTTAATAGAAGTCTGAAGACATTTAGGCCGCGTTACTTACTCGTAAGCCTATTTTATCTACTAATAGGGTAGCGGGCTTATAGCTATACCGTACCTTTTACTTTTTAGAGTTAGGCTACGAGGGATAACCTAGAATTAACCCTCGTATTATCGGGATATATACTTCTATAATATTAGACGACTCAAAAACACTCTAAGTTTACTCTCCTAGAGGTAGACTTACTAGCAATCCTCGGGAATCTTAGGGAGTCCTATAGAATATTTAAGATCTCCGAAAGTCTCTATATCTTACGTTCTATTTTATAAATATAGCTAATAATTACGTAGCGAAGGTATTCTAAAAGGCCGGTACTACAGGTTTTAAGTCTACTTAGTACTCTATACTAATATTCTAATTAAACGAAGAAATAGTTAACTCTCGAATACTTAGCTTATTCTCTTCGGCTAACGTAAAGTAGGCGTAATAATTTCTTACTTACTTTAAGCCTATATATTAATATCTAGTAAGCTAATTGTAAGTAGATATTAGTATAGTTAAACGAGTAGGATAGACCTATACCTAATCTGATTAGTCTTAGAATAAAAGATAGTATTAAGCGGGTAGTCTAGAAATTAATCGAGCGAAGTATAAGTAGCCTCGTCGAGCAAGTAGTTAGTAACCTTAAGCGAATTATCGACGACCTTATTAAGGGGGCAATCTAAAAATTAATCAAGCGAGTAGTAAATAACCTTATCGAGCGAGCTATCTAAATACTAATTAAGCGAGTAGTTAACGACCTTATTAAGCAAAAAATCCTAATATTAATCGAGCGAGTAGCTACCTTATATAGATATAGTAATACCTTAACGTACTCCCCTAACGATACTCTACAGTAAATACAAAAGTATTCGGCGGGACCCGCCTGTATAATAGTAGATTTAGTAAGTAGAAGGGTACCTTAGGCCTCGATCTAGGCTCTATAGAATCTTCTAGAAAAGCGAAACTAGTAGTCGACGTATAAGTATCGTAGGTAAGAGAATAGAATTAAGGGTAGCGATCTCGAGGGAGCGAGAAACCTCTCGAATCCTATACTCCTAGAACTAGTTCTACGATCGAGGACGAGACTAAAGATAAAAACGATAAAGGCGTAGAGCTATTAGTAGTACTTCTGTTACTATTTCTATAATTAATACCGACTCTATATAGGCTCTAGGACTGCTTATTATATCTAATTTCTTTACTAACTTAAAGCTACGTAGAATCCTAATAAAATAAAGCTTATTCGAGATATAGTTACTAAGCCTTTAAAGCGGGGGATGCTTAAAGCATTAGCTAAATTATAAATTATAAGCTTAAGATCTTTCTCTCGTATTTGCACCTAGTAACTAGCGGTCCTAATAAAGTAGTAGGCTCTACTAATCTATTACGATATTCCTACCTTCTTAACTAGAGTTAGACGTTCCTAGGCTAGGTTTAGCTGTTATTTAAGTAGACCTTCGTAGCTTGTTAGGGATTTGGTCGAATAGGGTAAGTTAGGTATCGTTACGATATCTAATATTAAAAGTTAATAGGGGTTAATATAAAGATCGGTTAACGTCCTAGTAGAAAACGGCTCGTGTGATAATAGCCGAATCGAAGGTATTCCGGTAACGGCCTATGTAGTAAAAATTTCGCTTCTAGATACTGTTACTATTCTTCCCTACCTCTCCCTCGTCTACTCGCGTAAAATATATATATTCGCTATACTATCCCTTCCTTAATTCCTCTATCTCTTACTTTAGCTAGAGCCTAGATTCTACTCGCCTTTCTAAGGACTACTATATTACGTATAGAGTAGTATACCTATAAGAGGCTAGGAGGAGATTAAAACCTACCTATACTACCCTCTAAGTCCCTAACGCTATTATCTATTATATATAATATTTTACCGTATTAGTATAATAGAGTCTTAGGAGTAAAGGCGAGGTTTACCGCTATTAACTAGAACTCGAATAGTATAACTCTCTAGAAAGACGCTATCGTATTTTTACGTTAAATAATTACCGAGTAGGCCCTAACGAGTAGCGTCTTAGAGAAGTTAGCTATTCTCTATATATTCTTAACGAGACCCTAATAATATATTAAAGAGTTCTAGAGTAGTCTACTAAGGTATAGTTACTCTTATCTTACCGGGTAGTCTATAGCGACCGCCCCTTAAGTCTATAGGCTCGACTAGCTAAATTATAGCCTACGGGGCTATACCTATATATCCTTAGAACTAGAGGTATAGACTTTTTAAATAGCTTTACCCTAGCTATAGACTCCGAACCCGACTCTCCTAGTACTAGATACCGTAATAGAGAATAGTTTTAACGCTGTTTTAAACTTAGTATATCTACTAGAACTCTATAGTAAAACAAAGGCCGAGATATATCGTAGATATAAGGAGGAATCCTATTCCCAATTAACCTCTAATAATAAGTATAATAGCGGATAAGCGAACGTCGATTAAGGAGATCCTTAAGCGTATCGTAGCCGTTCTACTTTAGCCATTACGAATCCCCTCGGAACTATATAGGAATACGAACTAAGCGGCGTATATATAGTACAGTAACTACTATATTAGCCCCGAGACTAATATACTAGAGTAGCCGTCGAGAAGGTATATACTTAGTAAATAACTTTATTCTCTTTAAGAAGAGTTTATAAGTATTAACAATTTAGCTAATAAAGGGAGCCTTAATCCTAATCTCTAATAATAGGTATAGAAGGACATATATTGCCGTTAGTATATCGTTCTCCTAGTCCCGCTTATTACCTCGATATACTTACTAGTAGGGGATTAGAAGGCGAGTTAATACTCCTCGAGTCTAAAGTAAAATATTCGTAAGGAGCTCGATTTCTCGGTATTCTATATTCCCTCCGTTACCTTTAGGCTTTAACTTCTTCTCTAGTTTAAAAGTATAAGGATCTACTGCTAATTATTCGCTCTCTTCTTCGTTTAACCTAGTCTCTTCTAATAGCCCTAGGAATACAAAGCGCTATTACTATCTAAATTAATATAGGGATAATAAATTGCTTACGGTTTATAATACTATAGCTCTCTTAAGCGATATTTCTATCCTAGACTCTTCCCTCTATCTTAGGGCTAGTAGTTAAAACGTCTATTACTAGATAAATGAACTTTGCCTATACTACGTTTTCTATTCCTGTTTTTTGTTTTTCTATTCTATAGAGGGCGAAGATACACTTGTTTAGATTTAGTAGAGTATTATAGTCTACTACGAGGATACTAACTTAGTTCTATATTAATAATTCGCCTAGGCTTAGTTATTTAATCTTAATATTCTACGTAGCGTCTAGAGTACCCGATACTATAAACGTTAAGCGGCGAGGTATACTAGTAGTAAGAAAAGTAGAGTTTAGTATCTAGGTTAAATCGGAGGAGCGTAGGGAATATCAGAGCAGATAGATTAGTAGCCTTGTTCTATATTACCTTAGATATATAGCTATACTAGTGCCTTTACGGTAGCAGTATACTAATAAGGCGCCTATATTTCCGGATTATACCTATAATTAATTAGGCTACAGTAATCTTTAAAAGCTAACTAATAGGGCCGAGTATTATATAATAAGGAGTTTCGGTATTAAATGATATAGGTAGAGAATCTAGGAATAGGAGGATATACCTTTAGAAAGGCGCTAGTAATACTAATAATATTAATATCGTTAACTATACTAACTATCGTATTTAATCTATACTAATAATATAGATAATTTCAATAATACTAATCGACTAATAATTATTAGGCTAATCTATTAATACTAATAATACTACTAATGTTTATAATACTACTAATACTAGTAATATTTATAATACTTATAATACTAGTAATACTAGTTATAGTAACGGTTCTAGTAAAACTTAGGATACTACTAGTCTAGTTAATCGATAGGTAGAGCTACTCGTCCGTTCTTTCTATAATATATATAGTCGAATTATTAACGATATAGTCTATCTTACTACGCTAAGATACCTACTGCCTACTAACATAATTTCGTTAAATGCCGTATAGAACTAACTAATATATATTTCTCCTTTATACCTATAATTTCGTTTCTTCTTTATAAGTAGCTAAGCGGCTAAAAGGTAGCGTACGTAAGATATCAATCTTTCTAGGCTATAATAATAAGATCTAGCTATTTTAAGGAGGCTATAAAGGTATACGATATAGTCTATCGTAGTACTAGCGAGTTTAATAGCTATAATAGTACTCTAGACTCTAGCGACGATTTTCTTTCGTCCTAGTAAGAGTAGGAAAGCCTTAGACCTATCGGGTACGACTATAGGTATAGAAGTTTTAATAAGTCTAGCAAGTAGTACGACATTCTCCTTTATAAAACTAGAGTGCTAGGTAGGAGCTAAGGTAGGACTCTAATATCTAGACGTAAAGCCGTACTTTAAAACGAGTTAAAGGATATAGTAAAAGCCTAAGGCTTTATAATATCCCTAGAGCTATTTAATAACTATAGAGGGAACCTTATAGATATAGACTAACTAAGAGGTAAAGCTAATATCTGCTTTCTAGTAGAGAGTAATTAATCGAAACATATATATATAGTTTATAGTATTAAATTGATTTAAGTAGGCCGTTAAAAGAGGTATATATTATAAGTTATCTAACTTCCGGTAAATATTTAGATCTTTTCGGATAGTAAACTAAGTAAGATTCCTACCTTCTACTTATCGTTATATATAATTATTCTCGGCGATAAGATAGGAGGGGATTCGCTTTCTACTCTAACTAGCCTACGATATAGCGCGGTATCTTATAAACTGTTTTTTTACACTATAGCTCGCCTGCTAGTTAGTAGACTATATTATCGAGATACCTTTATATACGTAAATAGGCGGTAGTACCGTAGTATATATATTAGACCGTTCTCTCTAGCTCTTACTTCTATTTATTTCGCTTAGGAAGTTTCTAGATACTCGCTAATAAAAGGAGAAGAGATTTATAGAGTTAGTAATATCGAAGGGCGAAGGTTATATATTTATAAGAGATATTAGGGCCCTAACTCTTATTTAGGGATAGCGAAGTGCCTTGCTTCTATTTTAGTAAAGGACCTACCGTCTACTAATTATAGTTTCTCTAAGGCCTTTAATCTAATACTAGCTAACTTTGCTATATACTAGCCTATCTAATTACGGCTAACTTAGGATAGGAGACTACTACTATCGCTCGTAAGCCTAAAAAGGCATCTCCTACTACTAATAATAAGCTAGAGAGTTTAGAAAGGGGAGGAGATATAATACGATACGAGGAGTAGCGATAAGGATAAATAGTCGTAAGTCCCGTAAGTTTAAGAGGGTATAGCGAGTCCCTTAGTTAGTACTCGATATAGTTACGCTTTTTGAAATTTAAAGGATCTAGGCCTTAAAAAATTATAGGAGTATACTTAACCTATATAGAGTATAGTAATTATATACCTAGAACTTAGACTTGTTCTAAGACTTAGAATAATTATACTAGAGAAGAAGTAGCCGAGCGGCTTAATTATATAGGTAATTGTCTAGCCCCGCGTATTGCCTCTATTTATTACTAAGGCTCGAAGGTCGGCATCTATAGTTACTTTAGATCTCTTATAGCTTTAAAGTCGACTTTTGAATTTACTATCTACTCGTTATTAGGAAAACTAATCTACCTTACCGTTCTTATTAATAAAACCCTATAGTATTACCCCCGTATTTCGTACTCCTCTCTAAGTATTATACGCCTCTTTGTCTTTTTCTCTCTATTATAGTAGTCTAGTAGCTATAGGACCGCTTTAGTATAATTAAATAGCGCTAACGGTACAGTACTAGGTCCCTTTTAGGCTAGAGCTATTAAAGGGAAAAGGAGAGTATATAAACTAGTATTATATTATACTCGCTAAGGCTTTCAAAGAGACTAAGAGCTTTAAAGGTATAAGGAAAAATCTAGTTTATTCGGACAAACATTCGATCTTATAGGGTATATCGCTAGATTTACCCCTCTACCTATAGCTACGCTATAGAAATTTATACGTAAAGCTCGTTATAAATATTCTTATCTATATTATACTAAGCCTTTATATTAGGGTAAGATTAGGCTAGAATCGGCTAAGGCCTAGCAACCTTCTTCTAGAGTATTAACTAGATTATTAACTACTCGAATATTTATAGAGTCGCTATCTGTAGGAATAAATATATTATAGGTCTCTAGGTAGGTCTCCTTATAGGTCTTCTTCCGGATTCTCTTATTAGCCTACCGAGCCTTATAGGGATTCCTACTTATTCTATCTATTTATAGTCGAGGGCCTACGGGATAATTTTAAGATAGTAAAGTCTATCCTATCTAACGACGCTAGCTACTATCTAGTCAGACGTAAAGCTAGCGTAATAACCCTCCTTCCGAGTACTTATATCTTATAACGTCTATAACTATCCTATAGTCTTATATCTAGTATAGCTAAAACGATTATTAGCGCTCTAGTATACTCTTTACTACTTTAGCTAATCTTGTCTTAAAGCGCTATACTAGAGAATTAACGATAGATCTTAGCTACCTATTATATGTCTTATAACTATATTAAATAGGTAATATCCGTAAGGCTTATATTCGATAACTATATATTAATTATAATGCTCCGGGAGATTGTTCCTTACGATTATAAGCTCTAGTATATAAAGCTGCCCGAAGATGTTATTAGTAGTCTAAGGGACCTAAGACTAAACTTTAAACTTAGACTCTATAGCTAAGTTAAATATATAGTAGGGAGAACGGTAAGGATAAGAAAATCAAGGATAGAACTGCTAGTATCTAAGATTAGAATACCTAGCCTATATAGCTTATCGGTCTCGTAGAAGAAAGGTTAGAAGATTCTAAGGTTAGTAGCGCTAGAGACTATATAAAGTCTAAGAAAGGTGCTATATAGCAGCTAGAAACTATATACTAATAGTATAACGTTCTTCGGTAGATGCTTTATAATTATAGCCTAGAGAGCCTTTCGTATCGTTAAGCGAATAAGGTCTCTTACCTTAAAGTCTCCCTCTCCGAATAGCTATAGCTCTCTCGGCAATAATAAAGTAGGTAAAGTTATTACCTAGTAGTAGCTCCTATATATTCCGCCGACTTTCTTGCTACCTTCCGAGATACTATATTTCTTATACTACTATAGGTATATAATTTTAATTCTACTCTTCGAGCCTAGTAGTAAAGTTTAACTTCTTATTAAGTCCTTGCCTATAATTCCTCTCGTACGTATAAAGTAGGTAGGGTCTATACTAGGTAGACGATAGTAGTAGCTTTTATACTAAATTTCTCGTAATCTTTTTCAATACGGTACTTTATATATAAGCACTTAATTATAAAGCAGTTAAGGGCTATACTAGGTAGCTAATAGTAGTAGATTCTAGACGCCGCGCTAGCTTTCTCGCTATATTCTAAATTCCTTATCTTATATATTAGTATAGGTATATAATTATAAAGGGTACTCTTCGAATCCTCCTTAAAGCCTTACTTTATAAATAGGTCTACTACCTTCTTAGCCTTTATATTAAATTTGCCCGGCTATATAGATAGCTAGCCTAGGTCCTTAAGATAAAAATACTCTTTATCTCTAGTACCTAATCTATCTACTTATCGTACTTCTCTACGCCTATTAAAGTCGCCGAATAGGTAGGAATCGTTATTATTCGTAGAGGTACTATTAGTTTTACCCCTAAGCGCTTCCTCTTCTAAGTTTCTCGCTACTATCGGTATCTCCCTAGTAGTCCTATAATCGCTACGAAGTCTGTTTAACTCTTTACTAATCTAGACTCCGTGTTTTATAGCCTCCTTTAAGAGACTTTATAGCTACGTTTAACTTTGCCGACTCCGTATATTCTTGCGCTCGTATACTATATCGTTACCTGCTATAAAGCTCTATATTCGTTATTACTATCCGTATACAGCTTGCTTAACCAAATTGCAATTCTATCTTACGACCTATATAACTAGTTACAACTTTATTATTACCGCTATTGTCCGTTATATACTCTTCTTCTTAGATAGCAAATATTAAATCGTTTGCTACGAGTCTATTGTTCCCTACTTTAGGCTCGTACTCGAGCGCTTTTCTCTCTAGTCTCTTAACTAGTCTTTTCGCTTCTTTTCTAGCTCGTTCCTTAGGCCGAATTTCGACCTAAACCTTCCCGGTTAGTAATAAACCCTTTTCTAAACTCCTAAATGCGTAAACTTGTCTTGGTAGTAGTAGTAGCGAATTCAAAATCTTACGGACACTAGTCTAGACCTAACGTAAAGATAGTACGTTAAAAATAGGTTCGGTATTCGCTTATTCTATAGATCGAAAACCTATAGCAGCCGGATATACTATAAGGCGCTATTATTCAAACCTAATAGGCTTAATAAAAACAGCATTTATAGTATAACTATAGTTACAACTTCTTAGCCGCTTTCTTAGCGAAGATTCTACTAGCTACCCTCGTTTAAAAACACCGTATAAAAGATATAATCCTTTAGCCTACCTACTAGGAGTAGCCGGAAATGATATGCGTAAAGTCGGCCTCCGATATGCCGTACTACGGCCCTTTCGCTTCGAAATACCGACATTGTATAAACGGTCTATAATTGATTAATATACATCGCCTAGTAGGTATTAAGTCGCGGATCTATCTCTCCCCGATCTCGATACTTGTCCGGCCTTAATATAATAAGTGCTAAATTCAATTAGTGCATCCGACTATTTATCGTAACCTCGCGACTAGTTATAATAGCGTTAAAGTATATTACCGAGATAGGTTAGCTTATCGAGGAGATCCGTAGTTACCTTTAGTTAATAGCTTATATAAGTAGAGGATTATAGTAGCTTAGCGAATTAGCTATAGTAGCACGTACTACGGAGTATACTAGGCTACTTAAGAGCAATCTAAATTCCCAGTAGTCGTCGTTACTATATAGTATCGATACAATTAGAAGAGAATAAATAGCGCTATAAGGAATTATAGAAGGCCTTTATCCTCCTATAGACTATATTCTACGAGTCTTTCTTCCTTTACTACTTCGATCTAGAGCGTAGGCTCTACGCCGATATAGTCTCCTCGGGAATTTAGTCTTAGTATAGTAGTATTCTATATCCTAGATCCGATCTTAAAAGACGGCAAGCGTAGCTTTTCCCTTCGTACTAAGTATAGTATAGTCTGTTTCTTAGCCGTCGGCCTACCGACCCGAGGAAATAATAGTAGCTAATAGAGCTTAAGTTCGTAAGGAGATAGCGAAGTTAAAACTACCTCTAGATAAGTTTAGTTAAAGACGAAAAGCTAGTCTTACTAAGACTATAAAAGACCTAATAGGGGAGCCCTAAGTTTCTTTCGAATTAAGCTATAGTATTATATTATAGGGATATTCTTATTCGTCTAGGAGAGAATGTAAGGTTGGCTAAGGAAACTATACTACCTCTAGGTCGTAGGCGAACGAGATCCTATCTTCTAGGTTCTTTTAGCGCCTATTAAATCTACTAGAGATGCCTAGGGAAAAGCTTTAAGACGTCCTAGATACCTAAACAGAGGCTCTTATAAACCGTAGAGATCCGTAGTAAGCGGATGTTGTTTAAAATAATAAATTGCTATAATCCTCGCGCCGTAGGAGCTAAATCTAGATCCTAAAGCGCCTGCTTCGCCGGGAATATAATTACGGGATACTTCTCACTTTATAGGAGTAAGCGGTGCGATCTTGCTTTGCTAGCTTTTTATCTTTTTAGTCTAGGAAACGTCTTCGTAACTTACTAGGGAATTCTCTCCTAGTCGTACCGTTTGTATTAGCTTTAGGGCGCTCGCATCCGTAACGACTTACGTAAACTTCATCCCCGAGCAGTCTATAATAATAGGTTTGAAGTAGATAAAAACTTTCTAATTATTATATAGTGCTAGAAATCGTCCTGCTTAGAGAGATTCTTTAAGGAGCTCTATTTGCTCCCGGTAGCTATAAGCGCTGTCCGAGGTCGCATGAATTTGATGTTTAAGCAGTCCCTAAGAAAAGACGATAAATCCTTCGTAATCACTATGTAGCGCCCGAAATCATCTTGCGTAGAGAGATTCGTCGCGGTAATCCGTTTACCCCCGGCAGCTGTAAGCGCTGTCTGATTGGCGTCGTCTAGACACAAGCGCGGATCGAATCCAAAGTCAACATCATCTGTGAGAAAGAGGCTGGTACAACGACAAGAGATCGATAAAAATCACCCGATCCAGCCACGTGTAACTCCAAGTTGACCCGGATTCTTGAAGTGCCCTGAAATTATCGACTGTGCTCGAACGCCACGCGCAAGTGAAGCAGTCCAGCTGCCGGTTCCACGAGGATGACTCCAGATGCTCTGCTTTGCGACCACTGCGTGCTCCCTGCTGCATCGAGCCTCCAAACCGCTACCCGATTCACGACTGTGTGCGCGTTCAGAGACGCCATCGCTGGCACTACAAGTGGCTCCAGAGCACTACGCTGTCGTTCGGAAGTTTGTTGACATGCAATGTGAGTGGCGACATCCGCGTGCGCCCGGCGATGGTTGTCCGCTTTGAGTTGATGAGCTGCGGACCGAGTCAGTGAGATTGTCGTAGCTCTGGCCCTGTGACTAGCTGGCTGGCAGGTTGCGCATCGTGTCAATCGCCGTGAGGACAGAGTTATGCCCCGTGCTTGTGCGCTTGATCGCATCGCTGGCCGACAATGGACGCAAAGGTAGTGTCGTCGTCGTCATCGCTAGCGTCGTTAATTCTACTGCCTTTAGTATATATATAATAGCCTCCTCGATATCTATACCGTTAAAGACAGTTTCCCTATTCCTTTCTACGTCCTTATCCTAGAGTAGTTAATTAGCTAAGTCGATAAAATCGCGCTTTCGGGCAGGTAGCTAGAGGCTACGCTAAATTTCCTACGTTCGCTTATAGATTTTGTCGTAGGACTATAGTTTAGCGCCGAGTAGCTAGTCTTTAGCGGCGCTCTGCTTTTTTTAGTAGTACGGAGAGTTAGGATAGAGTAGCTCGGGCGTAGAGGGCGTACGCTCTTCGGATAGGTAGATAGCGATATATTTTAATAGTCCGTTTAGTAAGGGCTAGTGCGCTACGCTAGTGTACTAAGTAGTACTACTATTTTATTGCAATCTCTAAGGGAGTAAAGTATAAAGTCTAATTCTAGGAAGGTTATACCTATCTAGGTCTAGGGAAAGTGCCTAGCTATCTAATAGCCTTCCTAATAAAAACCCGATCGAAACCCTATTACGGAGAGCGTCCGTATAGTAGGGTACGCCTAGGCTAGCTTAACCGAAAATCGGTCCTAACTAAAGCATAGGATAGTGCGGAGGCTAACGTTCGTATATCTTAAGGAAGACTTTACTACTAGATGTCTAATCTTCTCTCGAGGCGAACCGGTTCTTAGTAGGATATAATCTAGATCTAGGTTTTATGCGGTTCGGGCAAAAGGAAGGAGGTTCCTTCGACGAAATAATCTAGATGAAAAGATCTAGCGCCGATTGACGGCAACAAGATAGAAGTCACACTAGGGAAAGCGGAAGGCGGAAGGCGGAAGGAAATCTCTAAGAAGTGCCTAAGAAGGAAGTAGGGGACTGGTTCGACCACGAGCTACGCCGAACACAGAACACACTCCCTGTGCTTGGCAGTTACCACGTTCGTCAGTTCGTGATGCCGAGAAAGGTTGCCATTAGACCTAGTCACAGAGCGGAACATTGACTAGTAGTACCCCTAGGATAGCCAGCAGCACCGCTAACTTGGCCGAACGCAGAGCAAATCCTCTACACCTACCCGTTACTGCTTTCTAGCCGTAGGTAATACCGACCTTTCTTAGCATCACACCCGGTCATAGGGCGGAACATTGACTAGCAGCACCGCCGGGAGGGCCTGCAGACTAGGCTATAGAGCGGAGCAGGACAACCCGAGGCAGAATCCTCGGTTTTCTTCCGCATAGTCTTTTTGGTATTCAGCGGCCTCTCGGGATGCGACTAGAAGAGCACTCTGTAGGCCTCGTCCTCGTTGGGATCATCGGCTTCTTTAAGGTAGGAAGCCATCGAAACTGGAGTTCTGCCATTCGATGCCCGTGTTTCTTTTTGATGCACTCCTCTTCCTTATTCTCCTCTTTTTCTTATCCTCGCTCCTCATCGGCCGTGGATACTGTGGAAGACGTTTAATGCGGTCTGATGAGGATAATCTGGAGGCTTGGTTAGGATGATGTGGATGTCTGGTCAGGATGATGCAGAGATCCGGTCAGGATGATGTGAAGGTCCGTTCCAGTCTGGAAGATGATGCGTTTCATCTTGAAGCTTCGAGTTTGGTGCCCGAACAGACGTGCCATTGTAGGCAGAAGTGAGGTCATAGTGGTGCCGAACAGATATGTTGTAAGGTGGTGCCGAAAAGGTGTTCCACGGCAGGGCCGAGCAGATGCACCATGAAGTGGATGTCGCTACTGTAGTGCCGAACAGATGTTCCATGGTAGGCAGAAGTGGACGCTGCCATAAAGATTCCAGTATATCGGCGTGTTGATGCCGAGTGGATGTGCCATGGTGGTGCGGAACAAATGTTTCACGGTGGTGCCGAGTGGATGCGTTATGGTACGCAGAAGTGGATGCTGCTGTGATGGTTCCAGTGTGTCGGCGTGTTGGTGCCGAGCAGACGTGTCTTAGTAGCCATGATGGATGTAGCCATGATGGATGATTCGTGTGTGTCGGCGTATTGGTGCCGAACAAATGTTCGACGTTCGATGACAGGCCGAAGCGGATGTCACCATGATGCTGAAGACTAGCGTGGGGAAGAGGAAGACCGGCGTTGCCTTGGATCCATCCTGTGCGATCCACCCTATGCGACTCACAGGCGATCCTGAGTGAATGTTAAGTCAGTACAAGGCGGGACCGAAAACGCTAGAGTCATCAAACCACTTTGCTATACAGAGCTGCATAGAAGCTGAAGGTTACCAGCGCCGTTAGTGAATGTACGCAAGGCTTCCACGATACTTCGCCGCCGAGTGATAACTCCAAAAGTCTCTGCCCATCGCTCGAGAAGCATACCCTTATCCAAGAACAAGACATGTAGTAAATCTCAGGGTATAAAGCCAGTTCAAGAGTGTTCTGCTCCAACCCTGGCCTAACCACCAATTGACTAGGCACTCTTGCGCCCGACGTTTGTTGGGATTGAGTATGAATTCCTCTCGCCCTGCTGATTCCTCCAGAACTGTTGCGACCGTGGTGAGTGAGCCAGATGTAGCTCTTGTTCACGCCGAGCAAGATTGCTCAGTGTTCGGCTCGGTCGTTCGCTCGGCAGCCGGTAGTGTTTGCTCTTCTTTCTGCTCTTTCAGGTTTTCAACACAAGTGGGCGTCGAGGCTCTTCGACCGACGGCGCGTGTTTCGTACGTGGAACCAAGGCAGGGTTGCGACAGACTGATGAGATTAGGAGCGCTCGTCGCGGTGGTGAGAGCGTCTGTCGTAGCGAGGAGATCGCGAGCGCGGGCGGCGTTCATCAGCCGGCTTTCATGTGCGCGCGCGCGAGTTTCTGCGCAGCACAGAACAGCAGCGCATAGAACACCACAGCACGGCCGAGGCGTGAGTGTGTCTTGAGTTCGGGGGTGGGCGTAGGCGATGCAATGCCGCAGCGTGGTAACCAGAATGTCTTTTTGCGCGGTCAAAGAGTCTTTGAACGGCCGCGAATCAGGTCGCGTTGGTATCTACAAATGTGTGTCAACGATGATGGCAAGTGTGTTGCGTGCGCGATGGGTGGTTGTAATGAAGGTGTGTCGAACTGAAAGGTCTGGCGAAGACCCTCGTGTTTCGTCGGCGGCTGCGACGTGATGCACACGGCGGCCTTTAATCACCTCGTCGCCCTTCGCCGTCGCGGACTCTCTGAAAAGGCTGGGCCATCATCCAACGGTTCGTACACGAGGGCGTAGGCGGTGAGCAGGCCGGGCGTCAGTAAGTTGTCTGTTAGCCGCCTCACCTTGCGCCGAGCACATCGTGCCTTCTTTTGCCGCAGCCTCGACCTCCTCCTAAGTGATCCCGAGGCTGACCCCAGATTCCTGAAGCTGTCGGCGGCAGTGGCGTGGCGGAAATCAGTCGCGTATGAAGGGTCAGGACCGGTCGCAATATGGAGGATGAAGTCTTCGTTACACGACCGCCGTCAATCCGTTTTCCGCGAGATACCGAAGCAAAGCTACAGTCTGTGGTGGTGGTGTAGTCGATGAGACACCTACTGTTGTTTTCGCTGAGTTTGAACCCGAACCTGGCTCAGGAAGCCGCTCCGATGGGCTCGAGAACCAATCGAAGAAAGCCCCGATAAAGGCACCAAATCCTCCTACACTATGCACAACCAGCCTTCCATGCCTCGTCTGCTCTGAGATGACAACGCAGGTGCCGCTCGACCCATCACCCGCCAGAATGCGCGTAGCCGGCCCTGCCATGGAATTGCCGAAGAACGCAGCAATCGCAGTCGCACCCAACGCGATCGCAGCAGCCCACCCAACTGACACCTGATGTCGTGCTACCTGTCCTCGCGAGACTCGTCCCAGGTAGAAGAAGTGAGCGTTCTCTGACCTGATGCCCGAGGGTGAAAGTCGGCTGCCATTACCGCCAGGGTTTGTTGGCCGATTGTGACGCGAACGCTGACTGCCCCACATCTCGATGTCCTTCCCTGCTAACAATGGACGACACCTGAGGTGCCCCTCTATACGTGATCCAGTTCGTCCATTGCTCAGCCTTTCCAGCCACTATATACGACATCGTCCGACTCGCTGGTCATTTGCAGCCTCCTCGACATACTCTGCCACCTCAACGAGGATTCTCGAGAAAGGGCCAGGTCGAAAGAAGATGAGGGCGGGCAGAGTATGCGCAAAGGCTGCTGTGGGACGTGGAGCAAAGAAAACCAGACGAGAATCACCTACGGGACCATTCCAGACCTTGCGGGATCATTGCCGCTGCGAGAGTACCGAGCCTTCTTTCATGCGTGATCAGCTTCTGCTACGACCTGCTCCGTCCATAGAATCCAGCCCGAACGTTTGGCAGCTACGCCGGGGATCTGTGGTGTTGCAAGGCAAAAGCCAGAAGCCCTCTTGGGCAAGTGCCCCAGACGAAGAAGAAGCCGAAGATGGCGAGGAACGCGCTGAGCACGGCCAGGGCAGTTAGCAAGCAGCAGCAAGATGACAACGAGGAGGAGGGAAGCATAAGAGACGGTTGAGATCTGTCGTCAGGATAAGAAGTAATCATGATTGCAGCCGAGTTCATACCGGCTGGAATGCTTGACAGTGACTGTCATTTTTGGAGCGCGTCAGAAGATGCTTTGAGGCCGCCGCAGAGATAATGCATGCGGTGGTAGAGCCCCCACAAGGCCGAGCGTGTGGCAGATCAGTCTACTCGCCGTACGTGAGGCTACAGTATCCATTGTTGCATGCTTTGGCGTCGCCGCGGTGGCAGAAGCAGTCATTCTGGAAGGGTCCAGTGATATAACGACCTCGAGGTCCACCAATCGAATGCACTTGCTTCTCAATATGTCTCCTCTGCCGCGGTCATGTTCGCGAGAGCGGCAAGTCCCTTGCATTTCGATGGGGGTAAACCTGCCAGCGGCTTCACCCTCGCTGTCTCGCCACTGTCAGCGCTTTCGTCTTCGAGTTTTCTCATTCCGAGTGCCGGCCAGAGGTCTAGGCGTTACCTGTGCCTTCGTTGGCATTTTCGCCCTCAGGTGTCTTGCGTTTCGAGATTTCCCACCGCGTTTGCCTTCGCCTTCTTCAGCGCCTTCGTATTCATCTGATTCCTTTTCAAACTTGGGGCCTGCTGGTCGTGTGGGCTTCACTGGGCTTTTGGGGCATTTACGGGACTCAGGATTGACACTGTTTCCATCGTGGAAAGGCGAAAGTCCTCGGTGATGGAATGGTTCAAGAATTCTATAGGTGCGGTATTGATGGTAAACTGGTTCGTGATTGTCAAGCGGCCCTTCTCCAGAAATTCGGAGGACATCACATGTCCAGCTAATGCGTGCTGACTTCGATGAGCGTCCATACTCCATGCTGCTGAGTTGGGTTGGCACCAAGTCATCGCAACGTCGACAAGGCGACATCGCAGTCCATTTTGTACTTGGATGCATCGGAGAGCTGTGGGCGGCGCTCGGCGCATATCTAGCGTGCGATTCCGCCGAGGCATAGGAGGCGAACAATCGTTCGCATTAGGGAGGGCGTACCCCAATCACATCGTGCCCGTAATCCGCAGACACATGCTAAAGCAACCATGTCCGGGAGCCGACATCTTGGACTCAGTGTCCCGCCGGCCGGTACTAGAACACCAATCTCTTGCTTTTCCCCTTGCGCAAATGAGATTCTGATGTGCCGCCGCTCGTTGTACCTCGTCTCCATGATCGTAGCTTGGTTTCCCTTTCCCGCGCTCCATTCTCTTACTAATCTGTAGGGAATCTCGTTGAGACTTCTCCTATCTATTGGATCTCCGACCTTTGCTTCTGCGATCCGATCTGCCAGTTTCTGCTAAAGGTTTCATGTCTGTTCGGCCAATCGTACTCGATCTCGATGTACTATGATTCGAGGAGGATTGTTTTGCGATCAATTCGGGGAACCTAGATTGTAAGGACTGATGGATGAAGAAGCCCAGTGACGTATCAAGTCTAGTGATTTCGGACGGGGGATTCTCTCGAACTTCGTTAGTGGTTGAGGAAATACGAATACAGCACAGCCATGTCACGCGAAGCTCCTTCGCTTTTATCCCCAACTTACAGCGCACACGGTCTGGGACTGCATTATGCTAGGAAATTTGAGTAGGGAACTTTGATGGATCGCGAAGTGCGATGGCGACGCAGTCTAAGAATTCATGTCATCGAATGGGCGAGCACTGCGGGCGGAAAATTTGGCGGCCGGCTATACGGCATCCCGCGTTGTCTGCATGACTCAACCTCCTTCTCAGCGACTCAGGCGCTTCTTCTCGTCTTCATTCCTCTACCTCCTCTGCGAATTCCTCGGAACACATGTCGAGCGTACGCCAGATTGCAGGATCAGAATTTCACGCGCGCTGCCTCTCCTTCTACACTTTGCCTTCACGCACTTTCGAACTCCGCGCACTTTCGACATTCCACCTTCCTTAGTGTGACTTCCACCTTCTTCTCGGCGTCGATCGGCACTTTATTCACAATCTGGTTGAGCGGCTCTTCATCGCACAAGGGCAAGGAAGCAGGCAGTATCAGTCAAGGGTCCGATGGTGGAAGGTGCGTATTGTGCCTGCCTCTGCTCTATGCCTTCAATCGGGAACGAGCTGAAACGGAGATAGCGGAAAGTCTTGCGTTGACATCCGCTTTCACGACCTCTGCCGACCAGTGACCCAGCGGCGGTAGCGTCCTCTAGGAAAGTCTTGTACCTTCCTCGCCGGATGCATGGTTTCGGCAGGTTTTCGCCTAGGAATGTCTGGTTCGAAAACATAGAGTTAGCAAATTTTAACAAAGTGGATTCTTCTCTAGCAGACTCTGTCTCGGCACATTTTTCCTCGTTAGAATACTATTACTAACCCTAGAAAGAGCGGATTTTAGTGTACTTATTAGCATACGACGTTAAATTTAGGGCGAGAAATAGCCTTTAAGCGCGGAACTTAGCGGAAGAACTACGTCCTATACTTCCTAGGTGCTATATAGGCCGACTATCTAGTAACAACTAAGAGCACCTATACGGAAACAACTAGGCACAAATTACCTAGGCGTACTATAGGCGTAGTTACGGCCTAGTATAGCCGCCCGTCCGAGTATACCGCAACTACGAGCTATACTAGACGCGTAAGAGATAGTAAGAGTATTCTCTCGTTCCTAGGCAGGCCGCCTTTAGCCTAAAGGTTTACGAGCAAGGCATACCTCCTCTATAGCGCCCTCTAGCAACTAGGCCCCCTTATATTTAGCGCGGCTAGGGGGAAAGCGAAGATTATTATAGCCGACTAGGCCCTATATAATACATTTAGAGACACGATTAAGCTTATTCTCTCCTATTAGGTATACTAGCTACGCTTGTCCTCCTTATAGCGGAGCACTTAGGCTAAAACTATACCTATCCGTCGCGGTTTAATCTATTACGCTATTACTTCGACTCGAACTTAAAACTAGATTAACTAAATAATTATATTACGGAAGGAGGGAAGACTACAATATATCGACACCGAAGGCAACCGTAACAGGTTTATACGAGGACCTACGACAGATCTAGGCGGAATTAGGCTTATAGGCTATAGTATAAACATCCTAGAGAATTAACTCGTGCCTTATTGTAAGAATACGAGCTTCTATAGCCTAGGCATATAATAGGCTTTATATTAGCAAGACTAATTTTCTTATATACGAGCTGTAAATACAGTGTAATTAGTAACTAGTTGCCCCGAGTTTCGACTAGCTATAGGTATATCGGGGACTAAAAGAGCGTAGTTATCGGCGATGTAATAGTGTCTAAGTACATTCGCAAACTACGGCACTTTCTAAACGTTACGAGTAGCTCTTTAGTCGCGTCGTCTAAATAATGCTAGAGGTTAGAAACAGTCTCGGAGGTGTTTTAGACTTTAGTATTGCTTACACTTTGCAAGTAGAAGAGGATAGCGGCATTATGCTAAAGTCTGTAATTACCCTTCGATAGTAGATACCTTACGAGGGAAAAGATGCTATAGTAAATTGCCTAGTTCTCGAACTACTAAGACGATAGGACGTTTAAACTCATCTCCTTTATTATTAGAGCTAAAGTAGGCATAGGAGGTATCGCTATACAAGACTAGCTTTAATATACGAAAGAGGAAAGCGAAGAAGCGACGTTAAGATCTATACGGCAATTACATTTTAGTCTACTACTACGAGAAGTCTCGACTTAATAAGGAATTAGAACTTAACTAGCTAGGGTAAACGCCTGGTTTTTAATAAGCGATTCGAGGCTAGATAACGCGTCGCCTCCGACGGTTATAGCGATATCTATATTGCTCGACAACCCTCGGTAACCGTTCTTACGCCGAGCGGGAGCTCGGCATCTAAGACACTTAGTTACAATTAAGGGAAAAGACGCTGTTAAGAAGAAGTCTCTCTCGAGGACAGGGAGAGGAGAGCTGTATACGACTCCCTTAAGTTCGCGCGTTAACGATATAGCCGAGAAGTTAACTAAATCGCTTAGGACAGATCGAGCTTTAGCTACTAAGACTACCGCTAGTACGAGCACTCCGGACTTAGGCGACAAGCCTATAGCTAGGAAGTTAGCTAGGCTACTTAACCTTAGATTAAGATTTAGCTAGTTCCTAAAATCACGGTTTAGGCTAGCTAAGTTTACCTACTAGCTAACAATTTACCTAAATTGGCTAAGACCGGGCTAAAGCCTAAGATTACGACTAAGCCGGTTTCTAGGCGCAAGGCCGAGCCGACGGTTAAAACTACTACTAAATTTATTACTACCGCTCTACTATAACCTTATAGGAGTAATAAATAGATTGTAGTAGTCGGCTATATAAAGCTTAATATAGCCCCTTTATTCGGAAGCTTAGTAAGGTCGCGATCTATGCCTTTATTTTCGAAATCCTTAATTAGGCTTATATTTTAGTAACTAATCTATAGCGGCGGCGGTAGACGTCTATTATAATCTATCGTTAGATTAATTAATTTAACTTAGAAGAATATATAACAAGCCGCCTAAAGATTGCCTTCGAGTCTATTAGTAAAGAATAGTAATTGTAATTAGACTCTCGGTCTCTAACTCTCCGCCTTTATCTACTATCTCGGTTCGAGTAACTCTATTATTAGTAGGAGAGACCTATCTACCTAAAGTTTTAATCTCGTCTAAAACTACTCGGCAACCGTACTATCTATAATAGTCCTAGATCGGACGAGAGTCTATCCTCTCTTATATCGCTCGCCTACTAGCTTAAGATAGTCTTTATAGTACTCGAAGTAACTTAATCCCTTTTATCTACTATATATTTCTATTACTAGTTATTTTAGGCTAAACTAGATTTACCTATAGATATAATATTATATATAATATAAATAGCATTCTTAAATACACTCCTATCTACGTAATATTATATTCCTAAGAGATATCTAGTAACGGTTCTTAAGATATAGCTACCTCTAGTCTTATATATCCTACTTAAATCGTACTAATGTCTACTAACCGCGGGTTTTCTCCCTACCTATATCTCTAGGAGACTATTAATATAGATAACTTTTCTCTTACCTAGAAGAGTAGGAAGGTAATAGCGCTAAATAATATAAAAATAATATAAAAAGCTAAGAAGATATACTCTACTCGACTAAACGATTTGTTAGATAGTTAATTAGTTCCTAAACTTTAGAAGTTTAAAGGGGTTAACGTTTAATAGTCGCTAATCGGTTAGGGGCTTCTTACTTCGTTAAAATAACTAGTTTCTAATCTCCTATAGCGCGAAGCGCGGAGGATTATAGTCCGTAAGTACGTAAATGTTACTTTATTTTCCCTTTCCTTAATTATTTAGAAATCCGATAGGAAAGTCGGATATACTAATACTATTTTTTAGACGCCTCTATCGTATATATAGCCTCGAGACTTAGAATCTAAGTATACAAGTCTCCGCTAAATGTAGTTAACAACCTTTATAATAGTATAATAGGAAGATTATTTTTATTAGGATCTAGCTTTTAATATTAGCAAACATCCGTACTTTGTTTAACTCGATAGCTTTACTTAAGTATTATATTACTAATATCTAATAACCCTAGTATAGTCTCTTGTTTAGAATCTCGATTAAGGTATCTACTAATTAAGCTTAACGGCCGAGAGACCGTAAGCTAAGTAAATCTAGCTCTTTAGAAACCTAGGAATTTTATATATATAGTTCAAATTTAGGCTAGATACTAATACGTATACTTAAACGGACCCTATACGCTTAACTAGCTCTAGTACTATATATACGCCCCTTATTAATCTAATATACTAGAAAGGAGCTCTATCTTAGTCTTCGTTAGAGTGTAATAGTGCTTTATAGAGAAGCGTTTAAGCTTTCTAACTTTAAAAGACCTCCTATTCTTTATCGTAGCACTTTCCCGTTACCTAAGGCTAACTAAAAGTATAGTCTACGTTAAGTTTAGGGCGCGTAGCTATATTGTACTACTCTCCTAATGCCGCTAAACGTTATCGAGGTCTATATAACAAGTTATTAGTCCTATAGGGCTACTATATATTATTCTTAATACTAAAACCTCCTATCTATTATATATAATATAACTGTTAGGTATAAGTTTATAGAAAGCATTAAGTATAACCGTATACCTAAGTAATTGCTCGGCGTTCTAGATATTTACCTATAAGGCAAGATTAGGAGGGAAGATACGGAGTCTAATTCCTGTAATACGATAGTACTAAGAAAACTCTAGGTATAGCTAATTAACTTTAGTTTAGTATGTTACTAAGAGTATATATAGAAATACAACCGTATACTTACGCCTACGCCTATATAACGTACTATATAAACGTACTATATAAACTACTACGCAGACCTATTAGATATAAAGGAGGAAGAACAAGAGACTTTACTGCTAGGCATACTAAGAGACACCTAGGTCAAACCCGAAACTATTAAAAGGATCCTAAAGAAAATTCTAGGCAACAAGGCACTAGGAGAAGACAAGATCTACAACAAACTTCTAAAAGCATATAGGAAGGGGCTAGCCCTAGCACTAGCTAATATCTTTTTATAAAGCCTAGTACTAGGACACTACCTAAGACTATTTAGGAAGTCCCTAATAGTGGTGCTAAGGAAGCCCTAGAAGGAAGACTATATATAGCTTAAGGCCTACAGACTAATAGCCCTACTTAATATAATAGGTAAGGTGCTAGAGAAAATTGTCGCTAAAAGGCTAACAACCTTTGCCGAGGAAAGGAACATCCTTCCTAAAGGCTAGATAGAAGGAAGAAAGAAGAGGTTAA